TATATATACATATATATATTATAAATACATATACTTCATGTGAGATGCATGCCATGTGTACCTATGGATATATGTCTATCGCCGCGCACCTGAGAGCGTACATGCAGATCTGCTTAACAGATAGAAACTAGGGCTGACATAAACGAGATATACATGCTCATGGTCGCCAGCACCACCAGCTACGTGGCTGGGCCAGTTGACGGGTCCTTAAAGTATTCATTGTGTATCTATAAGCTCTCATATAGGTTGTAGTTGATGTCTAGTTCTGCAGATACATACACCCTCCATAACATCTCACATGGTTTATAGTTGATGTGTAGATATGGAGATGCATACATCGTCCATAACACGCCATATAGTTAATAGTTGATGTCTAGCTATGGAGATACATATATCTCCAATAACACCTCCTATAGTTAATAATTGATGCCTAGATATACAGATGCATACACCCTCCATAACACCTCACAAGGTTTATAGTTGATGTGTAGATATGGAGATGCATACATCTTCCATAACACCTCGTATAGTAAATAGTTGAAGTCTAGATAAGCGAATGCATATCTCAAATCTGGTGTCTTGCGTTTTTGTTCTGATCTTCGAATGGGCAGTATAAACACAAACATGCCAGCCTTGTAAACGTTTGTATATCTTCGTGCTTGACATTGGGTATGTTTTCTCAAAGCAGCGTAGACCAGTGCTTACTATTGGTATTACCAGTTTTATCGTGTTTTTGCTGAAACGTACGTTCTATTAAGAACAGCCAATCAAACCTTCATTAACAAAAATTGTGCCATTCAAATCGCAGCTATGCATCTCTGGTATCAATTGACCTGGGCCTCACCATTGAGGGCCGGTCCAAGGGAGAGCTGCCAGAGTTCGTATTTGCGTGTTTCCGATTGACAAAACCTAATCTGGAAGAAGTGCGCTTCCTGGATAATTCAAATGGGTGAGTGAATACAGATGAGATGTGACTTGTATACATCATGCAATACAAATTCTAACTACTTGTATGTATATGATTCTTTATTCCGTATATGTATCATCTGGTTGTGTACTTCTTGCGTATTGTGTAGCGTATCACGTAAATACTATCAATTATATTTTTTTTTGAGCTCGTGTTCCAATTTTAAATTCTCTTCTCTGTTTAACCCTTGTACCCCTTGGGCTGCCACTATTGTCTCCCCTTTTCTATATTTTTTCTTGAGGACTGTCAAATTTGGCTCTATCAGACCTTGATCTTGCCAATACGTACACCCGTATCTTTATAGTTCTTTCCCGCTCCACATTCCTGCTCTTTTTCCAATATGGCATTTTGGAGCGGCAAACGCACTGCAAATTCTAACCTGGTATATATATATACACACACACACACACACACACACACACACACACACACACATATATATATATATACATACATATACATATGATCCAATTCTTTTCGAATATGGTCTGCGCATTCCTGCCATATAATAACACGATGGCACATATCTGTGGCATATCCACACCACACACACACACACACATATATATATATGTATATATTTATATACATTATATATGTATAGTTATATAGATATATACATCATACATTATATATATATATATATATATATATATGTATATATATATATATGTATAAAATACATATACATACATATATATATATATATATATATATAACAATATATATTTATATATATGTAAATATTCATATAATAGTAAAATATTGTAATATATAACAATATAGCAATATATTAATATAATATTATAATAATAAAACACACTAATATTTATTTTATATTTATCTATACGTATGTATATTTGTATGTTGAACTCCGATACCGTTTCTCATGCATTTGTCATGTTCTCTCAACAGTATTGGTGACAGTGAAGACATGTCTGACGCGGACGAGGACAGTCGATCCTAGTACATGCGCAAATTTTACATGAATAAAGTACGGTATCTCACTGCATAGCGCACAATGACTGGCGCGATTGGCCCATGTTAACTACTTCCGAGTTGTAGCCTCAGCCACATAAGGGACAGTTCATAAACCCTCACTGCGACGCGTATAACAGTCCCTAAACCGAAGTTTTTCATACGCTTGTATACATGATTTGTTTATATATGTATGTTATGTAGTATCATATCGAGCGGACATAAAAAGCTGTATCCAGGAGATGAAAGTACATCAACCTGGTAATCAAGACCAGTATAGAAGATACTTGATTTGTGATGTCTGTTTTGGCTTGCTAAGCTTCAACATGAATGTAGTATTTTAGCTGACAGCCGAATTCCTCTATACCTCACGTGTTGAGTATGTGCCGTAGGCGTGTCGTGTCAGTTGGAGTGTGTGGACGGCTCAGTGCTGCAGTGCATGACTGATACAGACGCATGCACGAGGCGACATACGAGCACATCCTCGGGCTGTTATGTGTCGTTCCATGTATGAGTTGTACGCGTGTGATGGAGTACACTAGTGTATGGCGTGTGTGTGTCACGTGCGAAGCGGGCGTCCTGGGCCAACCCCAAGCACCAAACAACACGCACACAGCAGGCTGTATTGCATGCATCCCACCAAACCCTTGTCAGTTCAGCGAGATAGATGACTACCGAATGACCCGCACGCTCACGCTAACACTCAGCCTGTGCGAGGCGTGCTACATACCGCACATGCCAACGAAAACATTTGGTCGTTCTCGTACGTACACGCTACACACGCCCAGACGGCACTCTGAGCGCCTTGGCCTGTTGTTTCTGCATCTGGCGTACTCGCTGGTGAGATAGTACTGGTAAAGACCGGTTTCACACTAGTACACATTTCACAATGGCCGGAACCCGGACTATTCTCGAACGTGCACGCTGCACAGACCCACACACGTGTATTCTCAGCAGATTCCAGTCCACTAGGACTCTCGTTAGTAGTCCAATCCATTTCATCATTGTTCCCATCGTCTAGTTGTGGAGCCAACCATGCAGACAACACATTCCCTTCTGCACTAGATGGTCGCATATATGCACTCATATCATCGTCACCGTACCCATCATTAACCACACGCGCACTTGTACCGAACTTTCTGTGTCTTTCCCTATACGCGTTGCTACTCTCGGCAATACTACCCCCTGGACTGGGCCTCTGCGAGTTCGGACTACGCCTGCTCCTGTTATTAGTTCTGTTCCAATTGTTAGGACTCCCTCTGCCTGTGTAGCCACCATCTATAACACCCTGATGCGTGCTTGTGACTTCAGCACCATCTCCACTTTCGTGTACAGTCTTCACACGTCCCACTTGTCCACTGCGTAACCGTACCTTGATCCCTTGGGGGTGCTGTGCGGAGTTCGTTAATAATGCATCGACCACCCCGAGGGTTAGCTTGCCTGTAGGTTGATCGCATTTCAGCACAACGGACACCTTCGCGCCGCGTTGTATACTCGCACGTACTGTGCCACTCATACTGTGCAAGTGTACTTGTGAACGTGTTTGTGATTGTTGTTGTGAGTATGCTACTGTCCTTTCACGAGCGTGAACAGACCTATATGAACGTATACTCTGGACATCTACTTGATTGTGGTGGACGGTAGTCAATTGCACAGCAGATGTTCCTCTGCATAAACGCGCGCTTACGCACGCTTTGGTGTTATAATCAAGTATCGATATACCCGGAAGCACCGCTTGACGAATGCGTCTGAGACTATGACTATAGCGACTTGCTACACACACACACGCTATACCAATACCTCTCCACAACGGCGTGAAATGGGTTTCTTTACAATACAATCTAATGAGATCACTGGCTGGTGTTCCTACGTATGTATTTCGAGTCACTGCCGCACATGTGCGAGCACAGATTCCCCCAAGCATACGAATGCGATAGGGTAACAAGTGTCACACCCAGAATATACTACAATGGCTGGTATGCGCAACAGTACGCGTGTTTATTTACTTTCTTTCGTGTCCACGGTTCGTGATATGAGAATACATAGTGCGATTCTAAAGTGTACCGGACTAGTACCGAACATTCCAACCCTTGAAACAACTACCGATAACCCTAATTATCAGCAATTTATAACCCTAAAATAACCTACTCTTGTGGTCGTGAAAGGCTGAAAGTGATGATGCGTCCGAAAATGAACTAAAAAATGATGAGCCATTGCCATCCGATTTGTATTCTATAGGGTACACAAAAATAGCCCGAAAATGGCTTTTCGTCACCTTTCGTCAGTTTTGAGAAGTGTATGCTAGCTGCTTGCACGTTAGTACTAGTATCATAAACAAGGCACACCCGTAATCTGCGTTTAGCTTCTGGAGGTACATAATCGGCGATCGCTAAGAGCTGCACCGTCCTAGAGGTTACTAATCACGAAAAAGTTTCTGCACACACGATGAGTGCTGCTCAAGTAGAACGATATGTGTTTGAAACACTCACGGACACAGCCAAGGAGGGTGTATCCTGTGTGAAAGATCAGCTTGAACTAGAATCCTCTAGGCGTGACTCAGGGGTTGGTACCGAACATACTCTGAGTGGTAGTGCTAAGGAGCGTCTGTTTGCAAACAGACTGCTTTCGTGTGCATGCTGTGTGTGTGTGCTGTACGTCCCGGTGGTCATGGGCGATGGCGTGGCTGTGTGTAAGGACTGTGCCTTCAATATGAGTATGTGTACGGTATGAGTGTATGTCCGGTGTATAAGTTTTGCATAAGGTATACTAGTACGTGTTTGGTATATAAGTGTGTACAATATGTGTATATGTACGTATATGAGTACATGTTTGGTATATCAGTGTGTACGATATATGTATATGTCTACGGCATATAGGTATGTATTTGGTGTATGAGTGTGTCCGGTATACGAGTATGTCTACAGTCTATAAGAATACCTTTGGTATGTGCGTATGTATTCGCTATAGGAGTATGTGAACGGTGTATGTGTATGTCTACGCTAAACGAGTACGGTTTGGTACAGGAGTGTGTGCAAGGTATACGAATGTGTGTACGTTCTACGAGAATTGCATTGTTTTTAATATATAAGTACGGGTGCATCATAGGAGTATGACGAACGGAATATTGTTTGTGCACACTATAGAACTATGGGTGTGGTACGTGACTATATTCACTATATGATAATGTGTACATTTTATGATTGTATCTTACGGTATACGAGTGTGTAATTTATATAGTAGTGTGTACGCATTGTAAGAGTACGTGTTTGGTATAGTGTAGTTTGTGCACCCTTTGTGAGTATGTATATATATGAGGTATATGGCACGGTTACATCAAATGTGAGCCTATATTTTTATATATATATATATATATATATATATATATATATCA